TAATGGTGGCCGTAGTGAGCAAGTCTCAGTTTCTACTGTGAAGACTTCGAGGTGCAGGTTTGACAGGACGAGCTGCAGCAAGAAAGCCAGACGTCAGAATAAGACGAGGCTTGTCTGGGCCATGAAACACCACCGTTGGGCTACTGAAGACTGGAAGAAGGTTTTATGGACTAATGAATCAAATGTGAAATCTTGGGTTCATCACCCAGGATCTGTGTACGCCGTGGAGTAGGTGAAAGGACGGGTCCACAGTGTGTGGCATCAACTGTCAAACATGGAGGAGGGAGTGTGATAGTCTGGGGATGTTTGCTGGATCTGACAAAGGTGGCCACTTTGATGAGTCAAAGGTCTATTTAGGTCTTTGGTCTATAAACGGATTCTGTGATTTCTGTTTTGACTCAAATTGCTTATTTGCACTATGCTTTGATTTCAGAGTGCAATGAGACAAGTATATCTGGAAAACGATATTCAATTATTTTTGTTATTTAAAGGTTTTCATTGTTTTCCCTCATGTTTGGTTTTTAAATATTAACCCTGCAGCACGACGTGTTCTGGCAGTGAGGGCGGAGCCTTCATCCCCATCCACCTCCTCCCCTCCAGCTCTACCCAGCTGTCAGTCAGACCCCTTCTTTCCTCCTCCTCCTTCTCCTCCCAACCCGCGATGACCATCAAGTTCCTGGGGCCCCGCTCAGTCCCTGGTCAGGTGAGAGCGACTGTGTGATTCAATCCATCCAGTTCAGTTTTATATTCAATCACTTGAGATTGAAAGAGAAAGCCCCAACACTGCATTAATGCACTGATCCGTCCACTCTCTTGCTCTTCATCATCGATTGTGGACAGCTGGGATTTCGTGCAGATTCTGACCACCAGTTTGTTATGATGTTTGGGGGATTTTGATGTTCTCACAGCATAACTGGTTTGTTGCCAGCTCTCATTGCATGTGCTATCTATGGATGTTGTGGAAGATCACATGTATAACTTTACCAATGTGCACAAAGGGGGGGTTATGATGTCTTAGCATGTAGATGGTGGGACATATGACCCGGAGGACGTCAGGACAAGGACTCGCTGTGGGAGAGAGCCATACTCTGATGTTGATGAAGGTGGTGTTCTTACTTCTCAGGCTCCGGTCCCTCTGTTGCTCTCCCAGCTTTCCATCATGCTCTCTTCTCTGTGCCACGGCATCACAGTGGCAGCTCATCATCACTGCACGTCTCCCACCACGATCCGTTCATGGATCCGACAGCAGCAGCGCAGCCTGAGGCACCGGCTGTGGAGCTGGAAGACGGAGGAGATGGCGGAGTGGGTGCTGGAGCGGTGGGAGCAGCAGCAGATTGTGACTGAGGAGTTGCTGCTCTTGGCAGCGAGGGCAGCTCTGGGAGGGGATGGCCGGCCGGAGGACTGGTACAGCTGGACCGTGGACTTCATGCTGAGACACGACCTTGGACCGCAGACCACCAACAGAAATGTGTCGAGTAGCTTCAACGGCAAAAGCCGCCGCTTCATCGACATGCTCCGCTCACAGGTATCAGGCCCGACAGTTTGATTGAAATGCACCAACCAAACTTTGATTAGTCGTTGGCGTTTATCGTTCTGGTTCTCGGACTGTGCAGAGTCGGTCTCCTCACTCTCTGGGCTGCATGGACGAGCTCCCCGTCTTCATCGATTTAGACAAGTTCTCCAGCCAGAGCCCAGCTTCCTTCCAGCTGTACGGTTTGCCTGAAGACAGGCCCGTGTTTGACGTCATCATCTCCGCTCTGTCTGATGGCGGCTTCCTCCCCCCCCTGCTGTTCTTTACGGGAGCTGCACCTGATATTCCTGAAGGATTTCCTGAGAATGTGGTGCTGGAGGCTCGAGCAGAGGGATTCACGGATCAGGACCGCCTGCGCATCTGGATTGAAAAGGTCTGACACTAGTTTGTTGTGCAAGCAGGAGCATTGGGTCACCAGAAACTGTTGCAGATGATGTGATTTCCTGCTTTTCTGCCTGCAGGTGTGGCACCCCTGTGTGGCCTCGCAGCGTAACAGCAGTTGTCTCTTGATAGCGGATGTCCATCGAGGCCACCAGACAGATGCGTTCAGGCGGGCTCTGTCATCGGTCTGCACAGACGTCATCTTCATCCCGTCAGGATGCAGCTCCCGTCTGCAGCCGCTCGACGTCTGTGTGACACGGGTGCTTAGGGACTTCCTGCAGGTAAGCTCACCTGTGCGACTCTGGCCCCGTGTCCGCCCCTCTGATGTGTCGTTGACGTGTTTGTGGTCTCGACAGACCCAGTGGATTCAGCTGGTGTCCACTGGGGGTTTGGATGGTCTGGGTCTGGATCAGCTGGCTCTGACTCTGGCCTGTTGGCTCAGTGAATTTTCTTCCACGCTCAACTCGGAGAAGCACGTCATGCACAGGTGGGAATGCCTGGATTGAGGTATAGCTGGAGGGTATTTGACATCAGCTGTATATCATTTGACTGTCATGTGACTGTGACATGTGACTGTGTGATGGCAGTATTGCTTTTTCTTCTGCAGGTCTTTCACCTCAGTGTGTAGCCTTCAGCAGATGGACGATCAGGTGGAGATGGCAAAGATGATCACAGCTTTAACCACAGTGCTGATTCAGCCTCCGGAAACGGGAGGACCAGAGCCGGGACCAGGACCAGAGCCGGGACCAGGACCAGAGCCGGGACCAGGATCAGAGCCGGGACCAGGACCAGAGCCAGTGGAACTGTCCAAGGTAAAGGAGGAGGACATACGGGTGGAGGAGGAGGTGGAGTGTTCTGTCAGACTGTAGTACGTCACATTTGACCAGGATACGTTTCGTGGTTTCCATGACGAACACTACAAACACACCTTTTGCCTGCACTTTGATAAGAGAGAAGCTGATCAGTATTATTGATCCTTGGCTGTACAACGGCAGGAAAAACCTGTCTCATCATGTAAACAAGAGGTTGTCATGAGTAAAATCTAGCACTGACGACTTTTCTAACAACATTTTTGTTCTGTTACTTTTGCATTGAAAAGAATGATTGGGATGTTTTTGTATTGAAATAAAGAAATGATGCTGAAGGACTGTTTAATGCTTTTATTGATCAGTAACAAAGGAGAAAACTGAAGTTGCTGCTTCTCTGGTTGGAGCAGACACGACTGCATTGTTCAGGATATTGTTGGCAGGAAGTTGTTTTCCTTTGTCTTCAGCTGTTTGAAAACAAACTTCAGTCCTACTATGTCCACACAGAGGTCGTGACCCAGCGCCGTGTGACACAGAACAGGAAGTCTGTTCACATCTCTGCTAATATGACATCATCCTGATTGATTTAATGTGAAATCAGCTCGAGAGGATCCAGACCAAACTCCACTCACATACTTGTCAATTTAATGTGACGCTGACCAAAATCTGTCCTGATGTAGAAACGGTACAAAGAAGCAGCACGCTGACCTCAGCAGCTGCATTAATGTCCCCGTTGTCACAATCAAATATAGAAACCATGGGAACACTACCACTTTCCCAGCATGCCCTGGAGCAAGGCAGCGACCCCCACCCCCCCAAGGGCAGTCTTGAGCTGCATCATAGGAAGGATTTGAGGATTGTTTGGCCTCCACTGTCCTGTTTAAATATAGGTTTGCATTTACAAATCGACTCTGCATTCATGTTTTCCCAGTTGGGACCATTTTTCTGGTTATTCCACGACCACGCAGCAGCAACACTCTAAAACAAGAACAGACTTTCACCCTTACAAATAATGCACAGCTGTTTAATCGTCCCTCACCGGACTCCAGCACAGCTCATTTATAAACCAGGTACAGTGGAAGGATTTAGTCAGACACCAATTGTGAAAAGATGAGTGGCCTGTAACTTTCATCATAGCTATACCTCAACTATGAGAGACACGATGAGGAAAAACAAATCCAGAAAATCACTTTGTCTTTTTTTCTTTTTTTTAAAGAATTTATTTACAAATTATGGTGGAAAATAAGTATTTGGTCGCCTACAAACAAGCAAGATTTTTACTCTCACAGACCTGTAACATCTGTAAGAGGCTCCTCTGTCCTCCACTCGTTACCTGTGTTAATGGCACCTGTTTGAACTCGTTATCAGTATAAAGACACCTGTCCACAACCTCAAACAGTCAGACTCCAAAGTCCACTGTGGCCAAGACCAAAGAGCTGTCAAAGGACACCAGAAACAAAATTGTAGACCTGCACCAGACTGGGAAGACTGCATCTGCAGCTTGGTGTGCATCTGCAACTGTGGGAGCAATTTTTAGAAAACAGAAGATATACAAGATAACCAATAATCTCCCTCGATCTGGGGCTCCACGCAAGATCTCATCCTGTGGGGTCAAAATGATCACAAGAACCACATGCAAGGACCTCGTGAACGACCCGCAGAGAGCTGGGACCAAAGAAACAAAGGCCACCGTCAGTAACTCACTCAAATCCTGCAGTGCCAGACGTGTCCCCCTGCTCATGCCAGTACATCTCCAAGCCCGTCTGAAGTTTGTTACAGAGCATTTGTCATATGGTCAGATGAAACCAAAATAGAACTGTTTGTTAAAAACTGCTTGTTGTGTGCTGAGTTGCGTCCAAAGAACAGCATACCTACTGTGAAGCACGGGGGTGGAAACATCATGCTTCATGCTGTTTTTCTGCACAGGGCCAGGGCCACTGATCCGTGTAAAGGAAAGAATGAATGAGACCATGTATCGTGACATTTTGAATGAAAACCTTCCATCAGTGAGGGCACTGAAGGTGAATCGTGGCTGGGTCTTTCAGCATGACAATGATACCGAGCACACCACCCGGGTAGCGAAGGAGTGGCTTTGTAAGAAGCATTTGGAGGTCCTGGAGTGGCCGAGCCACTCTCCAGATCTCAGCCTCATAGAAAATCTTTGGAGGAGTTGAAAGTTGTTGCCGAGCGAGAGCCCCAGAACAACACAGCTCTAGAGGAGATGTGCATGGAGGAATGGGCCTAAGTACCAGCAACAGTGTGAAAACCTTGTGAAGACTCACAGAAAACGTTTGACCTCTGTCATTGCCAACAAAGGGTATAAAACAAAGTACTGAGATGAACTTTTGTTATTGACAAAATACTTATTTTCCTCCATAATTTGGAAATAAATTCTTTAAAAGTCAGACTGTGATTTTCTGGATTTGTTTTTCTCATCATAGTTGAGGTATAGCTATGATGAAAATTACAGGCCTCTCATGTTTTTAAGTGGGAGAACTTGAACAACTGGTGGCCGACTAAATACATTTTTGTCCCAATGTAACTGTTGATGTTGGCAAAGAAAGAGAAGGCAAACTGAGGCAGTGTTAACATTTAATTTCCAAAGAAAGTTGAGCAGAGCACAGCTCTCGCATTAGGGATGGCTTAGGTGTGGGCAGCTGTTAAAGACAACGAGTCAGCGTCAGCTGCGACTCCACATCGATCAGAATCACCCGGCCAGACAAGCCCTTCTAAATGATGTGACACAGGCCGTGTGGGACCGATGAGCCTGTGACATATGAAACGCATTATTTAGAAGGCCAACATATTTTAAAACAGAATTTCACAGCTTAACTTTAAAATGTTGGTAGGGTAGGTTGGTCAGCTCTGCAGTGATGGCTGTGTTTGTTGAGCCTTGTTCTAGTCCAGGGTGCAGGTTTTAGATGTGCCCTTGATCCAATACAGCTGATTTAAACGGCTAAATGACCTCCCCAACATGTCTTGAAGTTCTCCAGAGGCCTGGTAATGAACTCATCGTGTGATTCAGGTGTGTTGACCCAGGGTGGGATCTAAAACCTGCAGGGACACCGGCTCTCGAGGCCTGGCCCTTGAGCCAGGGGCTGTTAAAAACTGAAATGGCCTGTTTAAGATGTTTTTCTACCACAGGAACCATCAATACTTCATACAAATGATATAAATAATAATGCACTTTTAAGCTCTTTGAAGCTTTAAGTGCTCCCACCAACAACCAAAAGTTTTTTTACTATAAACTATGCTAACTGTATTCTAAAGTACAATAAGAGATTTTAAATTATGAAGTCCAGAGCCACCGAAAGCTGACGTTCAGGGTTCAGAGTTCACCTGAACACACCTGATTCAGTTTTTAAGGTAAGTTCGGCTAAATGTCCCCATGTGTGCAGTGTGGCTTGTGTGATAGAACTAGCAGCACTGCAGCTAACAGCTGATAATGTTGATATAATTGTTTTATAACCATTTGTCTGTTAACGTCAGTTCCTACAATATTTAATATTTAATCCATTATTTTTAGCTCACACTTTTAGCTATTCCACCTTTTACATTGTCTTTATTTTAATTTAATTATTATATATAATTGTGTGTGTGTGTGTGTGTGTGTGTATGGTAAATGGACTTTTCCACTCTTCTGAGCACTCAAAGCGCTTTACACAACTTGTGCATTCACCCATTCGCACAAGCACAACTGACATTCACACACATTCATACTCTGATGAATGCATCGGAGAGCAATTTCGGGTTAGTATTTTGCCCAAGGATATTTGGCATGCAGACTAGGGGAAGCCGGGAATCGAACCACCAACCTTCCGATCAGTAGATGACCTGCTCTACCACCTGAGCTACAGCCACCCCTGTATATATACATATACATATATGTATGTGT